TTTTTCTTCCTTCTCCTTCGCTTTCGCCGGCGCCGACGTGGCATCAAACGTTGGGATGGACGAGGACTCTTCCGCCATTATGTAGTCCTGAGCGCGAGCGAGAAATTCCTTGTAGGTGGTCGGCTTGTTCTGACACAGGGACCACCTAAATAACGTCTTTGGCCTCAAGCCGCCCTGGGCGGTGATCAGCAGGGTGTCGGGGTGGCATCGCTCCATGTTCTGGACTCAACCGAGCGATGTAGTCCTTCAGGCTCTCGTTTTCGTCCTGAACGATGTTGGAGATGGATTCCTTGGGGGCGAGATTGACCTGAGACCCGATGAAATGTGACCGGAACGCCGACCTGAGCTGGGCCCAGGTGGAGATGGAGTGGGGGTAAAGGGAGTGATACCACCTCTGTGCCTTCGGCCCCAGCGTCAAGGAGAACATGCGACAGCGTAGGGCGTCAGAGGCACCATGCAGGTCCATCCACGAAGTGTAGAGGCCAATGTGGGAGTCAGGGTCCGAGCTCCCATCATAGAGGCCGAGCTGGGGTACTTTGATCTTCTTCGGGACGGCCTCCTGTAGGATGTCGGGGGAAAGAGGCGAAGCGTTGTCCTCGACTCGGGGAAGCGGTCGCACGCGTGATTGCGGATAAACGGAGAATGACAGCTCACTCCCTGTAGAGTGCCGGCCTTCTAGTTTGGCGATTCTGCATTTTAGGGCCGCGACTTCGTCAGTGTCGCGCCCTATAGCTTTGCCTCGCCTGATCACTTCCCGAAGGTCGCGGTTAGCTTGGCTTTTGTCGCCCAAGCGCTGGTGAACGGAGCGACAGATGATTTGGAGGCTTTGCTCCGGACGGCTCTCCCCCGTCTGTTCGGTGGGAGCCGGTCTGGTGCTCTTGTCGCGGCGACCTCGGGCCTCACGGTTCGGGTATTGAGCCGTGGTTTTAGATTTCGCCGGGTTCTTTTGCCCCCCGGCCTCCTTCTCGAGAGTGTGGAGCAGGGTATTGTCAGGGTTTTCCGTGGGCACCACGGTGTTTGCCCCGGCCGTCTGGCTGGCGAGGGCCTTGGCGAAGACCCCCTCGAGGGCTTTGAGGACATCGGGGTGCTGCAAGGCCGCAGCAAAGGTAGGAACTGGTGGAACAGGGACTATGGGTCCCTGCTGAGCACGACGGGAGGTCTCCCCGCCGTTGCGTCCACGAGGCTGGGAGCCGGACTGCTGGGTGGAGTCATCATGGCCGGATGAAGGCATTTTGAGAAGTTTTTGGAAGCGGAAAAAGTGGAAAAAGATGAGTGCGAAGTGGAGCTTCACAAGATCGAAAAATTGACACCAAGTAACTTATGGTGCCCTCCTTCTAGCGCCAAACTGTTGACGGACGTTTCTGGTCAACTGTTAAAAAAGATAAGTGGTAAAGAAGTAATGTGAAAAGATGAGGGAATACGGTTTAATTAGGATTTTATTAAAGGATCACGAGGTCGGCCTCTCGTACGAGGTCGGCCTCTCGTACGAGGTCGGCCCTTGCGATATACTTATAAATTCTTACAGAGTTCTTACACGAGCCTAGAGAGAGAAAATGTAGAGAGAGTTTAGACAGTTGGGATTCAACAACCTAAAAATAAATGAAGGGGTTGCTATTTATATTACTCTTTAATGCGACACTGTTCAGGTACTGTTTGCTGGTCTTGTCGTACAGTAGTTCGGCGGGACCGGCCGGCCTTTTTCTGACTGATTGGGAGTAATTTCCGGATCTCCCAATCATTGCCTGCAACGCATTTAATGTGGGTGTGGGCTGCATTTAATGTGGACATACTCCTGAGTCGGGCTAGACGTTCTAGACCTACTGACTAGCCTGGGATGTCCCATCGGCAATCATTAGTTCGACAAGTGGCCTTATTTTATTGTTTTCTGGATCCTCAACCCCAACGAGGGTCGAGCCGATAGGGTCTCGAGCCGAGCTATAGCAGCGTCCATCCCTCGGTTTCTCAGACCCCTCACCCTAAGTCGGTCAGCCCTATGACGGGTGTGGCAAGGTGCCGACCTTGGGGTGTGGCGTCGTCCGACACCCCAATCGATTTTGACCATTCCTCAGACCGGCACTTTACAATTGTCACGGTACCCGGCCTCACTTACCGGGCCGGCCTCGCCCGGTTCTCGGTCTTCCGAACCGTTATCCTTATGGGAGCCCGAATCGGACGTCAATATACACCTGGGACGACAGAGTGCCGACCCTGACAAAAAGGGGGCAGGGTGCCGACCTAGATACTAGCCCTGGCAGCCATCCCCTTTGACTCTGATTTCTGCTCAGCTCGGCACTTACAAACAATCTTGGTGACCGGCCTCCTCGGTTCGACCGGCCACCATCCGACTCCCGGTCTCTCAGACCGGTATCCTTATAGGGGTCGGACTTGGATATTAACAGGAACACTAAACAGCATTCTAGAAATCTTGCCACGTCTTTCTTCATTCTTCTCCACTAGAAGGACCTCTTCATATCTTGATACATCTTCGTACTTCTCGGATGGGCTGAGTATGGTGCATTGTGTGCCTGTTTAAGAATTTCCTTCCGCAAAGCTATCACCTTCAGAATGCTCTCCAACTTTGACTGCTAAACAACTAAGGCCCTGTCTGATGCTACTGCGAAGCCTCCCACTTTGACTGCTTGAGAATGCTCTCTCATACAACACAAAAATCTATCTTCTGGCTGCTTAATCATGACCCTCTCTCGTAAAGTCGGTCCCACAACTTATGATGATAAAATACCACTAGCTCTAGGGGACGACTCCACCACTTCTATCCCTAAACCGGCAAACTCCTGGATCATCTGCTCCTGCTGAGTAAGCATATAAGCTAGCTCACCTCGACCCTTTCGACTAAGGGCGTCGGCTACCACATTAGCTTTCCCTGGATGGCAGCTGATGGTGTAGTCATAGTCTTTCACTAGTTCTAGCCACCTTCATTGTCTCACGTTGAGCTCCTTTTGAGTGAAAACGTACTTTACGCTCTTGTGGTCCGTGAAGATCTCACACTTTACCCCGTAGAGGTAGTGCCTCCAAATCTTCAAGGCATGGACCACCGCTGCTAGCTCTATGTTATGCGTCGGATAGTTTATCTCATGCTGCTTCAGCTGCCTCGATGCATACGCTACAACATTCCATTGCTGCATCAACACATAGCCCAGTCCTTATTTGGATGCATCACTATAGATGGTGAAGTCCAATGTCAGATCGGGTATGGTCAATACAGGTGCAGTCGTCAACTTTGCCTTCAACTCCTGAAAGCTCTCTTCATAGCGGGTCCTCCACACGAACTTCTCAGATTTCCTCATCAAACGAGACAAGGGTATCTTCGATAAATCTTTGATGAATCTCCGGTAGTGTCCTGCTAAGCCCAAGAAACTACGCACTTCACTAGCATTCTTCAGAACTCCCAGTTACTCACAACCTCGATCTTTCTTATATCCACTTCGATACCTTTCGCTGTCACTATGTGACCGAGAAAGGAAACTCGATCTTACTAGAACTCGCACTTTGAGAATTTCGCAAACAGTTTCTCCCATTGAAGTGTCTCGAGCACTGTCCTCAGATGCTTCTGATGTTGCTCGGCATCCCTCAAATAGACCAAAATGTCATCGATGAACACGATGACAAACTGATCCAGGTAAAGGTGGAACACTCTATTCATGAGGTTCATGATCACTGTCAATGCATTGCTCAGATCGAATCGCATCACCGCAAACTCATAGTGCCCATACCGCATCCAAAACGCCATCTTTGGAACATTTGTCTCCTTGATATTCAATTGATGGTAGCCAGACCAAAAATCGATCTTAGAGAACACGCTGGCTCCCTCAGCTGGACAAAAGGATCCTCGATTCTCAGGAGTTGATATTTGTTCTTCACTGGCAGTCGGTTCAACTCCCGGTAGTCGATGCACATCCTTATGGATCTATCCTTATTCTTTACAAAGAGGACTGTCTCTCCCCACGAAGATACACTCGGCTGAATGAAACTGAGGTTCATTAACTCATGAATCTGTGTCTTGAGCTCCGACAACTCATTCGGTGACATTCTGTACGATGCCTTCAACACTGGCCCGGTCCTGGGACTAGGTCGATCGTGAATTCTACTTGCCTATCAAGGGGCCCACTTGGCAACTGCTCTGGTGAGAGTCGAGGTATTCACGAATTATCGCTACTGCATCAGAAGATGGCTCTTCCTGGGGGCTCCCCGACTATGTTCACGACACTTTGGCAACTACCTTTTGCTAGGCTCTTCACAGCCTTTAATGACGAGATAACTTTAGGCACAGTCCTCGTTTTCACTCTTAAGAAGATTATCTACTCATCCTCGGTTAAGTGAAGGTTCACCACGCTCTCCATTCAACGGATGTCCACTTGGTACTTAGTCAGCCAGTCCATGCTGAGGATCACGTCGAAGTCTTTCATCTCGATGACGTACGTATCCGCCTCCATGTCCTTCCCGCCGATGTTGATGTTGAGTCCCTTTCCGCCACACGCGTTCGACAAATGGCAACTTTTTCTGGTGACCCTCCAGGATAATTAAAACTTATTGTTTTGGGATTCTAACCATGACTAAGGCTGGGGTAAAAGGCAACTTAAACCAAGGTGTAAAGTCATCATTTTTAAACTAATTCTTTAATATCCTTTAAAAACGGTAAGGCCATAAAACTGAACAAGAACTCTGAAATTTAACACATTTTAATTATAAATTATCATGGCAACATGCTCACCAGTCACAATAGAACAAGGTCATAACAAAACATGGGCCAATAACAGGGGGGAGAGAAGGAAGAGGCGGTTTGTTTTTGACAAAAGGTGGGCTCAGTTAGAGGAAGCTAAAGACGTTGTGAAGGCAGACTGGGATTATTCTCGATCATTCACACCTATGTTCAAACTCAAAGAGAAAATTAAGGAGGTCAGAATTGCACTACTCAAATGGAGCAGCTTCTTCAAAGGAAAAAAAGGAAAGAAAAGCAGGAAATCTCTCAGCATTTAGAAAGAATGAGCAAGGGTCGCAATAGACATTGGGGAGAATGGAGGAGGCTCCAAAATGAAATGGATAAATTGAACAAAAAAGAAGAAGCCTTTTGGTTTGAAAAGGCTAGAGCAAAGTGGCTGAAAGAAGGTGACAACAACTCTAGATTTTTACACGTCCTGACTGTCCAGATGAGGCACAACAATGCTATCACTAGGTTAATTGATGACAATGAGCAAGTTTTTAATACAAATGAGGGAGTGGAACAATGCATTTTCACTTTCCTTGAGAAATTGCTCAAATTTGAGGGCTCTAAAGGGAGTGAGGACATTCTGAACCTCTTCTCACCAGTGATATCCGCGGAAGTAAATCAGGAGCTTGTGGCACCAATTGAAGAAAAGGAGGTCAGAGAGGCCTTATTTAGCATGGAAGCAGGAACAACACCAGGTCAGAATGAAATGATTCATTATTTTTTTCAAGTCTTTTGGGAAGTAATAAAGTGACCTCTGTGAGGCTATAAGTAGTTAATTTTCTTCTGGCCAATTACTTAAAAACTGAAATCAAACTACTATTAACCACTTCAGACCTATAAGCCTTTGTGGGATCTCCTACAAAATCATTTCCAAAATTTTAACCCTAAGGCTAAAAAATTGTTTGAATTGTTGTGTAAGTGCAAACCAGACAGCCTTTATTCAAGGGAGACAACTTCTTGACAATGTCATTATTGCTCAAAAAGTGGTGCATTTTCTTAATAGGCACAAATTACGGAACTCTAAGTATATGGTTGTCAAATCTGATATGGAAAAAGCATATGACAAAGTTGAATGGGAATGCATTACTGAAATTATGCTAAGGGTGGGTTTTGACATACTATTTATGAAGTCGATTTTTGCTTGTATCTCTACTACATCCTTCTATTTCAATTAAATGGTGAGTTAAAGAGTTTATATCAGCATCCATAGGAATCAGGCAAGGGGATCCCTTATCCCCTTACCTTTTCTCCAAGATGTTAAATGTTGAAGTCAGTAGGGGCTTATTTCATGGGATTAAACTCAATATGTCTGGTCCACAGATTACACACCTTTTGATTGCTTATGATCTTCTTGTGGGTAGTGTGGCTGACTGTTTATAGGCTGACAAACTTCTTGCTATTCTGGGCATTTATAAAAAATTCACTGGGCAGAAGGTAAACATGAGAAAGTCTTCTGTATTCTTTAACAAAAATGTGAATCTTACACTTCAACAGAATATTTGTCTGAGACTTAATGGAACCTCGGTTTGTTCTTCCTCAAGATACCTTGGACTCCCATTAGGTATTGGAAAAGCAAAAATTGAAACTTTTTGTGTTGAATGTTGTGAGGACCAAACTGATAAATTGGAAGAACAGATTCCTTTCTGCAGCAGAAAAAGAAGTTTTAATTAAGGCAGTTGTTAATGCATTTCTTATGTTCACCATGCCCTGTTTTCCTCTTCCAAAGGAGTGTGCAAAAAAATTATCAGACAGAGTGTTGAATTTTGGTGGGGAAAGGGAGAAAATCATCAATGAGGCATGCATTAAGAATCCTGGGAAAGTGTAACTCTTCCAAAAATACTGGGTGGTTTAGGCTTCAAGGATATATTTCTCTTCGATGTTGCGCTTGTTGACGTCGAAAATCGGACGATCAACCGTCGAAGATGAATCGAAATTCTTGTATAAAAATGAAGAACAAAAAATGACTAAAAATGAGATTTCTTGTGTAATATGGAGAGTATTACTCTCTCTCTTTCTCTTATATTGTGGGGAAGAAAAATATGAGGAGAAGATCCCTTCTCTCTTCTATTTTTTACATTTATATACCCCTCTCCTTTTTGCAGGTGGGTTATTAAATAAGTAAAAAATGGTACATCATTATTTAATGTGAGATAATCATCGTGGGACCCGCTTATGACTTTTGACGGTTCCAATTGACGTTCGTCTTCTCGGCAATCCGAAGGTGGCTTCTTCATGATATGCGTGCCAACCGATTACTTTGAACTCTATCCGGCTCGGCAGCGGGCGGACTTGACATCGAGAGATTCGATTAGCTTTCGGGTGATTAGTCTTGAGAATCTGTCTGTATATTTATTTATTACATATTTTCGGCCCTTTGGTTGTCGGGCTGTATTTTATTATTTTATTTATCATTTAATTAATCGGAGCCAAATTGGGTATCAATAGGAGGCCCCTGTGTTTGGGACATGTTCTGATTTGAACTGTTCTGAAGTCGCGTTTTCCTTTTACAATTTGGCAATGTTTTCGCCTCTTGACTCTTGAGCTTCGAGCTCTTTTTATTGTGTAAGTATTTACGCGTAATGAGAGATATTGATGAAATCGCAAATATGTAGGCGAGTGCGCGTGGCGGATAATTTTCGCGTGATTCATGAGATTACTCTTTATCTTGTCGGCTTTTACTTTATGCGTCTCGAGGACTCATTTAATCTTTATCGAGTAACTTTGGTTACTCGGATCGTTGTTTTGTCGTTTTCGGGCACTTTGGAACCCTTGCGCGTTTTGTTGATCATTTCAGGCTTTAGGCTGGCGTATTTACGAAAATCACGCTTTAAGCTTTGACGAATTGAGTCAATTTGAGAGAATGGGCAATTTTTGTGAATTTGCTATTGGATGGGGCCTGAGCAGCCTGGTCGGGTAATTTAGTACCCGTTTTTTTATGTGGGAATGCATTTCGAATCGTCGACATGAGCGAGCTCAGAGCTCTTTGTTTGATTGAGCTCTGAGCTCTGTGTTTCTTACGTGATGGTATGAATGAGAGCATTTTGTCGCATATTTTGTTGAGCCGAACTATTTTTGGAGTTCGGTTTTTAGTTTCAGGGCACTTCGGCCTCCTGGCTCGTTAGCCTTTAGTTTTACGGCATCTCCGCCTATGGCTCGTTGGCCTTTAGTTTTACGGCATCTCGGCATGACCGGGCCCCTTTGTTGAGTCTGGTTTGTGCAATTGATTGCACTAGTGATTACGATGTTTAGTCTCTTGGCCTGACCGAGCCGCATGTTGGACTCGGTGACGGTTTGGCCTGATCGGGCTGCTTGTTGAGCCCGACCTGTACATTTTATTACACTAATTACGGTGGCGCATTTTACCTGGCCGATCTCGCGTTCGGACTCGGTGGTATTTTCGGTCTGACCGGGCTCATCGTATTGAGCCCGGCTTGTGCCGGCCGGGTCATCGTACTGAGCCCGACTTGTACATAATTACGTGGCAGCTTGCCTGGCCGGTCTCGCGGTCAGACTCGGTGGTTCTGGCCTGACCGGACTCATCGTACTGAGCCCGACCTTTTATTTTTATTCATGATGGCGCTTGCCTGACCGGTCTCGCGTTCGGACTCGGTAGTTCTGACCTGACCGGACTCATCGTACTAAGCCCGGCTTGTGCCAGTCGGGTCATCGTACTGAGCCCGACCTGCACATAATTTCGTGGCAGCTTACCAGACCGGTCTCATGTTTGGACTCGGTGGTATTATTGGCCTGACCGGACTCATCGTATTGAGCCCAGCTTGTGTCGATCGGGTCATCGTACTGAGCCCGACCTGCACATAATTACGTGGCAGCTCACCAGACCGATCTCATGTTTGGACAGTGGTATTATTGGCTTGACCGGGCTACCTAGTTGAGCCCGACTTGCGTCGGTCGGGTCATCGTACTTAGCCCGGCCCGCACTTGCTTATTACGTTAGTTATGCTGCTTTGGCGGAGCTAGAGCTCAACGGCAGGCAATATGGACGTCGGCCTGGCAGGAGCGAGAGCTCAACGGCGGACAATATGGACGTCGGCCTGGCCGGAGCGAGAGCTCAACGGCGGGCGATATAGACGTCGGCCTGGCCGGAGCGAGAGCTCAACGGCGGGCGATGTGGACGTCGGCCTGGCCGGAGCGAGAGCTCAACGGCGGGCGATATGGACGTCGGCCTGGCCGGAGCGAGAGCTCAACAACGGCGATATGGACGTCGGCCTGGCTGGAGCGAGAGCTCAACGGCAGCGATATAGACGTCGGCCTGGCCAGAGCGAGAGCTCAACGGCGGGCGATATAGACGTCGGCCTGGCCTGAGCAAGAGCTCAACGGCTGGTGATATGGACGTCGGCTTGCTCAAAGGCCTCGTGAACTTCCGAGACCGAGAAGTGTTAGAGGAACGGTCGTGCCTATCCCGAAGGTTTGCAGCAGACCAACTTCCCCCCATCCTTCCCATCTCGGATCGACTTTCGCGAATGAGATTCGGTATATTTTTTTATTCATGTATATGTATATATGCGTATGCATATCTATTATTTATTTTACTATCATATTCTCACTATCATTATTATATTATTATGTGTACATATACACATATGTATATGTATGTACTTAAAGCGAAATTGAGAGTAGTGTTACTTGGGGCCGAGGCAGAGTGTATGCCTAAGCATATTACCGTCTGGAGAGGTCAGCTTCTCTTTTCCTCAGGTCCATGCCGGGTTCCTCGATTTCGGGACTTTGATCGCTTATTCGGTGCTATCGACCTAATTCTATTTATTACAAAATTATTTTGGGCCTAATGCTATCTTATTCTATCTATTACAATTTTTAGGGCCCAATTCTTTATACTCTCCAAATAATTTTGCAACGCCTACATTGTACTCATTATTAGGCCCAACACTTATTTAATTTGATTCCACTAGTAGGTCCAATAAAAGACCTTATTCCTTCCTACTTAGCCACTCTCACGGTCAATAGGGTTGCTGCAGAAAAAATCCTTCCAAATCGCCCAATTTGCACGTTCCGCTTTTGTGGTCAACGTCGGTTGAGGGAAGGGATTTAAGGCGTGCGAGCTCGGCATTTGAAGTTCGCTTCCCGACGGCAGCTTCCCGGCGGGATTCGCTTTCCGGCAGCGGCGGTGGCTTATCGGCCCCATTGGCGCGGTGTGATGGCGCTTGGAGCTGAGGACGGCGGCGGAAGGTCGTCGTTTGAAGGCGTTGCTTCCCGTCGGCAGAGGAGGCCCGACACTTGGAGTCAGCGGCGCGGCTGTGGTGTTGGGTCGGCGTCCGTTGCGTCGGTGCGGGCCTTGATTCGATGGTCAGTAGCATGGATCCCATTGGCAATGAGATCGGCAGAGGACATGTCGTGCTCGGCTGAAGAGTAGGGGTTCCGCTTGTGATGTGGCGGCCCGAGCGTGGTGATGAAGAGGCTCGGCCCCCGGCTGCCGTGGTGTCGAGTCGGCCTGCCGGCTGTGAGGTCGGCACTGACAATTATGAATTGGGATTGGTGAGGTCGGCGCCGACTATGTGTTGGTCGCGGACGTGGTTGACCAAGGTTAGACCGAACCTCGGCATCTGGTACGAGTTCAACCCGAATGCGAGGTGACAGTCATTGGTTGAGCTCGATGGTGAAGGTGTCGACTCAGGCTGTGAAGTCGGCCTTCGGGGTGTTTGCGCTCAGCCCGAATTTTGGTGTCGAGTCGACCTCAGCGGCCTGAGATTGACTGGCAACGGCGAGGGGTAGAGTCAGCCCGGGTGGTGTCGAGGAGGTAGCGAGATTGGCTGCCGGTGGTGCGAGATCGTCGTCGGTTGCTGAAATTGGGCCCTAGTTGTGGATTGGATGCCTGGCTGCGAGTCGAATTCTGAGGATGACGGGGATGACGAGGTCGCCTCGGTTACTGTGATGTCAACTGTTGCGATGTTGGGTCAACCCGGACTTCAAGACTTTGGAGTCTGAATTCAGCGTTCGACGGTGAGGTCGGTCCCGTCAGTTGTGACTGCGGTCGAGCGTCGAGGTTTTCGGCGAAGGCGAGGTCGTCCTCGACGGTCGTGAGATCGGGAAAATTGATTAGGATTTTGAGGGTCTGGGTTGACGAAGATGAAGAAATTGAGCTCTATAAATTATTTAGCTATGGAGGAAGTGATATTACCCTTAGAAAAATGATATTACCTCCACAAATTAGAGGAAAAGAATGTCGAGAACATAATACAATAAAAGACAAACTAGTAGGATGCCTTTGTCGGTTGAGATGTAGCAGTTTTCCGGCAAAAATTAACTCAGAGCAAATTACGGAGCCCTCCTTTTAGCGCCAAACTGTTGACGTTGAAAATCGGACCATCAACCGTCGAAGATGAATCGAAATTCTTGTATAAAAATGAAGAACAAAAAATGACTAAAAATGAGATTTCTTGTGTAATATGGAGAGTATTACTCTGTCTCTTTCTCTTGTATTGTGGGGAAGAAAAATATGAGGAGAAGATCTCTTCTCTCTCCTATTTTTTACATATATATACCCCTCTCCTTTTTGCAAGTGGGTTATAAAATAAGTAAGAAATGATACATCATTATTTAATGTGAGATAATCATCGTGTGACCTGCTTATGACTTTTGACGGTTCCAATTGACGTTCGTCTTCTCGGCAATCCGAAGGTGGCTTCTTCATGATATGCATGCCAACCGATTACTTTGAACTCTGTCCGGCTCGGCAGCGGGCGGACTCGACATCGAGGGATCCGATTAGCTTTCCGGCGATTAGTCTTGAGAACCTGTCTGTATATTTATTTATTACATATTTTTGGCCCTTTGGTTGTCGGGCCATATTTTATTATTTTATTTATCATTTAATTAATCAGAGCCAAATTGGGTATCAACAGCGCTCACTGAAACAAATTTGGAGAGTTCTATCCAAGCCTAATTGTGCAGGTATTTGCCCCACTCTTCTATTCTGCAGGGAAACAGCTCCTATTCCTTTTCCTGGCTCTGGTCTACTTGGATGAATGTGAAGAATAAGTATAAGGAGTTCTTCAAAATTAAAGTGAGAGATGGGGCTACAACTCATACTTGGCAAGAACCCTGAGTGCCAGACCTGATGGTTAATAATGGCCTTTTGGAAAAAATTTGAGAATCCCACCTGATGTTTGTAAGAGCTGATGGAAGATAATGGTAGAAGCTGGAATGGAGATCTCTTGAATGTCCAGTTCAAGCATGATGAAATTGAAGTAATCCTAAGAGTGAAAAACCTGGATCCTGGCCAGAAGGATAGGTGGTATTGGAGTTTAGATTCTAAAGGGTTGTATACTGTTGCTAATGTCTACTCTCATTTCAGCCTTAAAAAAATTCAGGGAGTTGGATATTACTGAGGGTAGTCTATCTGTTGCTGCTGAAAAGAAAGTGAGGTAAAGGAGTTGGAGTATGAAGGTGAAAGGAAATCTTAAACACTTTATCTGGAAGTATTACAACAAAACTTTATCTACCAGTCACAACTTGAAACAGAGAGGCATTGATCTGGATTCAATCTGCCAAAGCTAGGGGGAGGACATTGAAGCAGCTGAACACTTATTTTTCAAGTGTATGAGAGCTATTTTAACTTGGAAGTTGGCACTTGTTCAATGGGACGACACTGAGAATGAACTTATTTCCTTCAAACACTGGTGGTGGTCTATGTGTTCTGTGGACAGGAAAATCATTTCAGAGGATAGAATTCAACTCACTACATATATCCTCTGGTGGCATTGGCAATCTAGGAACTTATGGAAGTTTAAAGGAAGCCTTATGACTGAAGTAACAGTTGTTAATACAGCTGTGAAAGAATGGGCTGAGTTTAGGGATAGTAGATTGTTGTAGTCAGTTTCTTGGGTGAAAAAATTTAGGTCCTTCTGGTTCAGTGGAAGTTTTGATCTCAGTTGGTGACTGCTACATTTTACAGACTTGGTTTAATGCTTGAGTTATTGTTGAAGGGTCCTACTAGCCTGCTGCCTTCAGTAGTTTTTATTGATGTTTAGTGCTTGTGTTTCTGTCTCATTGGTCCTATTTCTACTATTTCTCTTAGTCGCGGTTTGCTGTACATTTTGTCTCTAGAGCACCACTACGGGCGTGTCTCCCCTTTGTATTCCTTTTTCATTTCATTAGAACAAGTGGGTTCTCCCATTTGTATGAACTTTTATTCTCTTGTTTTGTTATATGAGTGATCTATCGTTTTGAATAAATAAATAAATAAATAAAAACTTACTAATTCTTAGTTCATTTTAACTGAAACTAAGCATTAAAAGCTCGGCCATAAGAGGGTAAAAGCCTCAGCCAATGATACCTTTCTTCATGTATTAAAAATGGGACAAGGAAGGGCTCGGTCTTGGTTGCAAAATTGTCGGGAAAAAGGCTAGTGAAGGCATGGCTCTTATGGCTTTGTCTCGACCTCTGGTGTTGCAAATTCTCTCGGTTTTCTGATCAACTGGACAAAGCTAGTTGCTCAGAAAACGACTTAGATTGTGCTCAGTTCGGTGGTTGCTAGAATGCGCTGGCCCTCCGGTCTCCTTGGCAGGTGTTTGTTGTTGTTGGACTGCTCCCGGGTGGTTGCTGCACTGCTCAGCTGAGGGACTTTTGCTAGGGAAAGTTGGGATAATTTTTGTTGAGCTTTTGTAAACTTGTTGAGTGTAAAAATGAGTAAGTTTTGAGGGTGCTAAAAGAAGGTGGCGGCGGACCTTTGCTTGCTTTAAATAGAGAACACGAGGGCTGCATTTTGAATGAGAAGAGTGGAGAGTTGGGGCTGTGGAGGACCAAGTCTAGGGCTTTTGGCTGGTGGTAGCTTAGGTGTTGGGAGGGAGTTGAGGGTTGCTGGTAGTGGCCGTAAATGGAGGGAAGTGGTTAGGAAGCTTGATGACCAGTTCTAAGGGTGTGTTTGGATGTACTATGGTCGGGCACTTGGCTATACTTAGGAAATTTAACTTGGATCTATTTAGGCACTTAGGACTTAGTTATAACTTAGGCGCTTAGCTTAATTAGAAAATTTTGATTAGGAAAACTATGAGCATGTTTGAATATGAAAATTTTTGGTTTTGTTGGATTTTTTAGTTTGGTTTGGTTAATTTTGAGAAATGTAGTATGGTTAATAGTTAGTGTGTATATTAATATAATATTTAAAATAAAAGAATTAAAAATTTGATGTGATAGTTAGTTAAAATATTGTGAGTAGATGAATAATGAATTAAAGTTGATGTGGTGTGTATGAATGATTGATTGATATTATTTAATTATATTGATAATATTGATGATAGTGAGGTTGAGTTAAAGTTGAGTTAAAAAAAAGTGGTTGAGTTAAAATGTTGAATTTTTTTTTTTAGATTTCTTGTATACAAACATGCCCTAATTAGGAAAAAAATAATTAGATTCATTAATTAAGTAGACGAGGACATCTACTTAACTTTAATTTTTGATTAAAAGGATTTTGAATTGAAACCAAGATTAACAACAATAGTCGAGCTATAAATGAAATGCAATTACGTGCTATGTTTTTATTAAATAAATGGGGCCTTACATGACGGATCCGGTCGGCCGCCTCCGATTCGCCGCGGAAACTCGAAGAATCCGGCCGGCCGCCTCCGATTCAAGTTTGAAAAATTATTCTAGTATTTCATCTCGACAATGGGATGCACCATGTCGCCAACGAGGGCATGTTGTTTTATTGGGTGAACATTGGTGGATGATGTTGATTCCATTTGACCAATGATAATGCTCTTGTGCATTAAGAGAGAGATGGCCAGACATAGTTGCTCCGACTGTGGGTACACGATAGGCCGACGAACTGAATGCAGGGATCCATGGATGGACGAACGTCGTTTTGGTGGCCGGAGAAGACGATCACGCCAGGCTGTGCAGGTTCAACGTCAGACCGTTGCAGCGAGAAGGTCCTCCTGTCACCGGAAAAAAGCTTTCGACCGAGCACGCAGACCAAAAAAGGTTCTCGGCACGACGGATGCAACCAAAACAAGGAATACGCGAGATTCTGGCCGACGAGAGAGCGAGATTTGTGAAAATTCACTTTTGATGGCACTATTGACTGGTCAACGGCCGTCGACCGGTGGCCAACATTGGTCACGTATTTATTTATTTTATAATTATTTTTTGTTATATAATTATTGTAAATCCCAATTGATTAGTATGAGTCATTGATTGTACACAAGTCAATGGCATTGCACAAATCACAATTATTTTTATGATATATATATATATATATATATATATATATATATGGATTGATTTCAATGAGTCCACTTACTTAAAGTGAGTATGTGAGACTCACTCCTAGCCATTAAATAGGGATCAAGATGTGTGGCCAAGATTTAGGCCTTGTTTGGTAATCAGCTGATAGCTGTTAGCTGTTAGCGGATTGCAATAGCTGTTTTGACCAGCGAATTGTATTAGCTGTTTTGACCAGCTGATTGTGTTAGCAGTTTGTAAAAAAGTGTTTGGTAAAATTAGCTATTTCAATTAGCTGTTAACATGTAAAATTACTTATAAGGACATCAACATACTTTATCATTTTAATTTATGTTAAAATTATAATTATTTAGGAAATAAAAATAATTAGTATTTTAAATATTTATTAAAGTGATTTAAATATAATAAAAATGTAAATAATAATAAAATAAAAATATTTCTCAATCAAGTAGATAAATTCACGTCATATAAACAAGGTCAATAACAAGTACAAATTAAAAGTGTAAATATGAGTCAATTGCAATATTTGCTATTGCAATTAAAAAATAAAAACTAATGCTCTAAGGACGACGTCTAGATGCCATCAAACTTGACGCTATGTTATTACGAACGTTTTCCAAAATTCATCTTCTTCTTTCAAGTACTCTAAATACTGAAGATATTGTTGTTCATGTAGAAGAAGTTGCATAATTTTCACGTCATTATTTTCCATTCCTGCAAAAATTAGAATAAAAAAATAATATCAATTTTAGAAAAGTAGCATTATATATTAACAAAGTTAATTGCAAGTACATATACCAAAATAAACCATAAATAGACAAACATCCAAAATTATCATACAACCCAAAAACTATACTCTGGTTCTTTTTTTTCTTCTTAGGAAATATAATCCACTCTACAGTTATGAAACAAACAAAACATAAATCACAAAAAAATCATGCTAAAACCTTCAAAAACCAGACTCAAAAGCCATGAGTATTCAACATGAATTATCAAATGAGAAACAAACAGTAAAAAATATTTTATTATTGTATTCCTTCTAATCATCCAAAACTACAAGTCATCCTCGTTGATTTTCATAGCTGAAAATTGATAAAGAATAAATCAAGTAAATTAAACTTCAAAGCCAGCAGGGTCCACAAAAAGAAAACATATTTAACTCCTGAAAAACAAAAGATTAAACATAGATGTACTTAATGAAAGATAGGATATATAAAACAAAAAATTGTACCTCTGAAGAGTTCTTATGATGCCTAAAACGAGTCTTGGCAACTTCATAAATAAAAAATTAGGAGAATTAGTTTAATGGACAGATCACAAAATTCAGATAAGTTTAGCAGATATATAAGTCATTTCATTTTAAATACACACAGATATTCAAAGCTACACCAACAGAAAACACACAGTTCCAATTAAAATCAATGAAATTTAAACAAAATTCACAGCAAAATAAAAAATCTTACAGCAAAACCAACAAAAAACACTTATGTTGCCACTTCTTTTGTGTAGATTGATTCATTTAAATTAAACATGAAGTGCCGAACATATAACTCAATACCTTTAAATGGATTAATCAATCTTTATCCTGACTCATATATATGCCATCAAATAATGCATGGCTTAATCATAATAATTCACATCACTGATCACACAAACAACTCATCCTTAAGCCGTTGAATTCCAAGCAAATAATTCATGTTCTGAGTCAGAGTTCTCAACAAATAAATCAGATTCTAACATAGAATCCAATCAACATAAATCAAATATCAGGGCATGTAAATTTAATTCCAAAGTAAACAAAAAAAAAATCCAAATTATGAATCGATACTATAATAAAATACATGGCAGCAACTTATTGAATTACTGTCTATCGGATTCGGGGGCTCGGCCGTGCCAATTTAAACCGTAGGTATCTACTGTGCAATATAGACCGTTGGATGTATTTAAAAGACATCTGACGGCCAAAAATTTTATCCACAATAAAATCAGATAAAAAAAAAAAAAAAGAAAACTGAAAATACATATGCACGATAGAGGCTATACCTGAACAATTTCATCTTCTTTTCTCAGACGAAAACATTTCGTGTAATTCACAATATATTTTTTTTGTTAGAATGGGTAGACTTGGAATTTGGATATTTTCTCAAATCTTTCCCACATCGATTTTTCTCGCCATTTTTTTTCTTTCAAATTAGAGATTTCTTCGTTTTTGTTTTTACCCAATTTTTTTCCTCAAGTTTTTAAGCTTTTCTCTGTTCTTTAACGGCGGATTTTTCAGCTACAGATGAAGTCTCTTTCTTTTTTTCTTTGGAGATCACAATTTTTTTTGTTAGAATGTTTAAAGTTGGAATTCGGATATTTTTCTAAAATCTTTCCCACATTGATTTTTCGCCATTTTTTTTCTTTTAAATTGGAGATTTCTTCATTTTTGTTTTTACCCAATTTTATTCCTCAAGTTTTTAAGCTTTCCTCTGGTCTTTAATGGCGGATTTTTTAGCTACAGATGAAGTTTTTTTCTTTTCTGTTTTGGAGAGCCTGTATTCTTTATTCGTTTTAATATAAAAAGTTGTAAGAAAAAAATAAGAAAATCAATGGCCATTAGATACTTATCCTATAATCCAACGGCCACCATCAAACACAGCAGAGCCTGCTGTAAAATTGTGCACAACAGATCCCCGCACCCCTGTCTATAGGCCCCATTAATTCAACCATTTTAACATCAGAACCTATGTATAACTGATGGTCTCATCCCAAATCCATTCAAAAATATTCGAGAGGCCGTACCAAACTAAAGAAGCCTAATTAAAACCTCCAATTTCAAAATAAAAAATTTTAAATTTCGGCTAATACCTGAGTGCGACTAGGAGTTGCCGGGAGGTGGGCGTCAAGCAGAAACAGATGGTGGGCAGACGGTGATGCTCGTGGCGGCTTTTGTGTTGCGGAGTGGTTGGCGCTTGTTTGGCTGGAAGTGGGGGCACAAAAGGCAGGCATCAGGGAGGCGCCGAGTTGGAGACGGGGAGCTTGAGACTTGGCCACCGACGAGTGGAGGCAGATCGGTCGCCGAGTTAGAGAAGATAAGGGTAGTTGTGACTTTTAATTTTTTTTCTCCTAAAGCTAATTCAAAACGCTCCTCTACCTAGCGTTTTCATTTTTAGTGGATTTGATAAAAAAGATAAATTAAAAAGCTAGTTACCAAACATCATTTTTTAGTTGGGTAAGAAAAAGTCAAAAACGCTAAAGTCCAAAACGCTAAAATTTGCCAAAAAGCCATTAAACAAACAAGGCCTTAACCTTTTGTATTTTATTTTAATTATTTAAATATTAGTTTGACCTTTGACCATTGACTCTGGTATTGATTGTTGACTTCTGACGTTGGCCGTTGACTTTTGGCAATGACCGTTGACTTTCAGCGTTGACCTCCGACGTCGACCGTAGTACTCATTATGTAAGAAGAAAATGTGAACTTGTAATATGCAGTTGATATGAACTAAATATGCATTTGGTATGAATTGAATATTGTGTGTAAAACAACTTCGACAAGACTCAAATGACCTAGATCTGCTTTTGACAGGTTAAGTAGACCTGCAAAACCGTGTTGGGGGGAGGGGAGGGGGTGTCTCGGCATAGAGACTCAATCGATCAAGTCAGTATGAGGCTAAGGAGAAGAATTAAC